GGTTGGGGTATTTCATATACTAATTAATCATAATTATACAAAATGCAGTAATAATAAATTTTATGCATAAAATTGACTAACAAAATCAATGCGTCTTTACTAGTAAATTACTATTAAAAAGAAGATTGATTTGATTCATGTATTAACAGATTTTTTCTAATGATTTTGGTGGCAAACAATTGCCATAGTATAGTCAAAAGAAGTTATAGTTTAAAATTTTTAATTATTTGAATATTTTTAACCATTATATTAGCTAGAAGTTTTTTTTTTGTTTTACTATATATACTCCAGCTAAAAGATATACGTGCATTATGAATTAGCCTTAATAATCAAAATTTTGAAACTGTAATTGTATAAAGAAGGTTTTTTTTTATATTGTATATAAAGTTTTATTATAAGATTTTGGAATAGTTTTAATGCTGAATCGTTTTTAAGACTCAGTTTTTGCTATAGTTAGATGTTTAATCAAAAAAAGTCATGATATTTGTTATGAATTGGCTTTGTAACTGAAAATTTAAAGTCGTAATTGTGCAAAAAAAGTTTTCTTGCCATATTATACATAAAGTTTTAAGCTTTTGTGATAGTTTTAATGCTGAATTTTTTTAGCTTGGTTAGAGAATCTTGCCGGGTATGTCAGGATCTTTATAATATCTTAAAAATCTATACTAGTAATTTTTAATATAATACTTTATATAGACTTAATTATTTAGTATATGAAATACCCCAATCCGGATGATAATATGACAAAGAATTATAGCCCTTATCAAATTCTGAACACATAATAAAATGATTTTTGACTGATTCGATTAAATTATTGATTTCAGTATGATTGGTGTATATTTTTAGACATAATATTTTAGGATTAGAACCATACAGCTAAAATCAGGATAATGTCATGAAATGTCTTGTTGGCTAGTTTTATAGAGCTATCAGAATAATATAGGACAATATAAAACAAGACAAATCAGGATAATATTGGAGTTTTTTTTATTGAACAAATCGAAATGTATATTATTGATGCATAAATATGAAATCTTTTTTGCGTCTCAATTGAAATATATAAATTACATGACTTTGAGGACATGATCTTGACCTGATAAAGAAAAGTTCAGATGTGCTTATAGTGTTTAGATCCATGCAATTATATTTTTGATACATAAAATGTGTGTTAATTTAATCTATTTTAATATTTATCAATATGAACATATATAATAAAGATTAATGCACATATGTTTTTTTTGCTAATTACAAATATCAATATTTTAACTCTATTAATATGTTTAGCATTCACAATTTTTTATTTGCATTGATATTGTATAGTCAGAATTTCTTATATCGCATAAAAATACATTTTAAAATTGCATGAATCTGGATACTCTAAATGCGATATATAAAAAATTTACATTTAATTTTGGTATAGCCAGCTTACAAACTAATAAATACTGTATATGATGGGCCAAACCACCCTCCTATTATAAAATAATTATCGGTCATATAAAAATTTAAATAGTGCATATGATAGTTTATTTTTGTATAACAATACTGAATATGTAACTGTTACAAAAAAAAAATCTTAAAAAAAAAAATCTAAAAAAAAACTTAGACAAGAAAAATCAAATATTACAGCAAACAAACGAACGTTTAATTAAATTTGGATCAAGTAAATCCTAGGCAACCCCACCCACGAGGCAAGTAGTGAATATGATGGTCACCTAATATGTCCTGAGGGAGTTAATTCATGGATTGTTTCTGACATCCAATGATTATAAAGTGCACAAACTTTTGCTTTAAAGCTTTTATTAATACTAACATCCAATGGTTGCAATTTAAATGTAAGTTCACCAGGAATTACAGCCATATTTGTATTATTTATAAGCAAACTTTCTTTAACCAAATCCATTAGATGCACACGAAAGGAGTCAAGTATTAAAAGAGAGCGTGAATTGTCAGATGCTTTTGTAAACCACACATTTTCGATCCATCACAGCATTTCATCTTCATTACTTCAACCTTTAGGATTTACTCAAACAAATATATTATAAGGAAAATTTTTTTGTAGTAAAGTTTTTCTTTTAAAAATGTATACAGATGGTAGTTTTGTTTCATCAGCTAAGCATACAAGAGTGACAGTAAAATTTTTTTTTCATAATTAGTAATTCAGATGCTAATTGTGTGGGTTTTTTGAGTCTCGATTGTTGATGGATTTGGTGAATCAAATATGAGGGGAGTTTTATCCATATTTCCTATTAACTATAAAGAGTAATTGTATCAGATTCGTAGGTTTAAAACATAATTAAGAAAATTTTGTTGTTTTTCTTCTAAATCCTCAGGAAGCTTTTGCGCAATGGTTGTTTGACGACAAACTAATAAGTTATGCCGATCCAAGAAACTGTTAAGCCAATTACTTGAAAATTGAAACAATTGAAGATTTAGTTGATTTTGAAACTCTATGGTTTGGGTAAATGAAACCGTCTTTGCAGTTATCATTTTTCTAGTAACAGAGTTGTGTAATTGGTGTTGATTCATAATCCAATCAAATAAAATTTCTTCTATTTGTGGATGATGAGGTGAGTGTCTATTATATAACTTGAATTTCTTTGGCGAAGCCTTAATTAATTCATCTTTTTTATTTATCCAGTCACGTAACTGATTCGGTTGAATATTAAAATTTTTACATGTCTCTTTAATACTTAGTTTCATTTTATTTTGTTTATAGTAAGTAATAATATTTAACTTTTCACAAGCATTCTACTTTCTTTTTAGTTTTTTTGTTATATGCACTTTTGAAGTACTTTTATTGGTAAAGATAGTCTTTTTTTTTTTTTTTTTAAATGATTTTTATATCATATATATATTTGAAAGTTATATTTGTTAAAGATACTATGTTAGTAATAAAGTAACAATAAACATTTACTATCACGAACTTTGAAGATACTAATTCTTTTTTATTACAATTACAAAGAGAGATCTGTTTGTTTTGTGAATCTTTTTTATTATAATTAAAAAATTTTTTTACAAAGAGTGATCTGTTTGTTTTCCATGAATCTCTTAATTACAATTACAAAGTTATAAAGAAAGATCTATTTGTTTTTACAGATCTTTTATCATTTATAAAAAATAAAAATTATACTAAGAAAAAAAAATACAACCTCTATTTTAAAAAAATTTATGATCATTAATATAAGTTTGTTATTCGCTAGTAAATAGTAATTGTTAAACAAATGTTAATGGCAATTGTTGATATATGTATATACATACATACGTACGTACCAGTAAAGGCAATTGTTCTGTAATCTGATATGCACTATCAAAATATTCACATAATCTGACAGGGGGTGGTTTGACCCATCATATATAGTATATGCAAAAAGAATTTGTTACATTAAAAATATGCAAATAGATATACAATATAAGTATATAGTAAATTGATATTTATCAAATTAATCAAAAAATTTAATATGCGAATAAATTATTAGCGAAATTATATTTATTATTGTTATATTTTGAAAAATAATTAGAGTAATTCAATCTTATCTTTATTATCATTACCTTTATTAGAGATATAATATATAATTAATGAAATGATAATAATAAGTTATTGGGTGCTACGCACCCAATAACTGTAATATTTGGCATATTGACATTGATTGAATAGTGATCAGTTGATCACTATTTAATTAATGTCAGGTGACAAATACAAAGATGTATCTGGCCTGGAAATTTAATGTGCAGACTTCTGGGCCCTTTGGGGCCCAGAAGTCTGGCACATTAAATTTCCAGGCCAGATACGGAAGTTATTGGTAGCGAAGTACTCAATAACAGATTTATTCGGTATTTTATGCCAACCAGACGTCAAATTAAAGTGATTAATTAAAACTGATTATTTTAATGATAAATAAAAAAAGTTAAATATAAATAGTTAAGTTAGTTAGAAGTCAATTCAAGTTTCTTTTCTTTTCCTAAAATGTCTAATATAACTAAGAAAAAAACATATTATAAACCAACTGAAGAAGAAATTAATGCAATAATTACCAGCACTATTCCAGAAAATACCCAAAAAGCTACTATTAAGTGGGTTCAGATTTTAAATAACTGGCGCAATGAAGTTGGATATGATTACAGAATTGAAACTATTACAAATAAGGAACAGCTTGAAAAGGAAATGATAGAATTTATCTTAGGGATTCGTCAAATTAAAACCCAAGAAGAATATGCACCATCATCCTTAATTAATTGCATTAATTTATTAAGTGGATAGCTTTTGTGGCACCCTAATAGATCTAAAATGTTTAATCTCACAAATAAAAATGAATTTAGACATTTGTGGAAAGCCTTGAATGAAAAAATGAAATGCTAAAAAAAATTGGAAAAGTCGCACATCATCACGATAATCTAACTGACGAAAAATTACAGCAAATATTTAATCATAATGCACTTTCTGTTGATTCACCACAAGGATTGCAATATCGTATTTTTATGTGGTGTTGTTTATTGTTTCAGTCACGTGGTGGTGAACATTATAAATTATTAATATCTCAATTTAAATTTATGGATAACGGAGGTCTTCAATTTACAAAATATTCACAAAAAATGATCAGAGTGGCGTTGATGGAAATCTAGGTGCTCTTATTGTTCCTGTACCACCAGATCTAGACGGTCATCAAGGACCAATTTATGATTTTAAATACTACATCTCTAAAAGGTCTAAGGATTTTAAATGCAAATATTTGCATTTGCAAATTAATAAAAAAAGTAATTTTTTTTTATTTATATAAAATTTAAATTTTAATGATCTAACGCTAACACTTTAAATTTATACAGATTTATCGAATGAATGGTATATTGATGCCAGATTAGGAGAAAAAACATGTCGGTTATTCATGAAGAATATATGTTCAACAGTTGGTATTGAATTAGGAAATCAATATATTGTAAATCATTCAGGTCGATCAATATCTATTACAGCACTTTTTCAAAAAGGTGTTCCCCTTGTTACAACAATGTCTATTACAGGCTATAAAAGTGAATCTTCATATAGAATTTATGCACACCCATCAAATAAACAAAAGGAAGAAGTATTATCTCAACTAATCAGTAGTGTAGAAACATTACCTTCATCAAATGATCAAGTAGGTGCGAAATTTATTTACTATTATTTTTTTTTTAGTTTTGTTTTTTTTTTTAACTTTTTTTATTTTATAGTCCCTTCAAGCAATACCACCAATTAAAGATAAATCATCTTTAACTAAACCTTTTTGTCAACCTCTTTCAACAAAAAATCTTCCATTACATATTAATGCATCGAAGCCTGTGCTTACTCTTGGTGGCCGCTGACTTATTCGTAAAAATAGTAAAGCAATACAAGAACCTAAAGGTATTACATATTAATTATTGTATTTTTTAATAACTGATACAACCAATAGATTTTTATTAATTTATTTTTATTTTTAAAATGCATTTTTAAGATCAAGAAATTGAAGTAAACAATGAGCTAGCACGATCATAAAGAATTATTATATTAACGCTGAACACGTTACTATTAATTAAACAATTAATTATACTTCAAATATGCTGCATAATAAGCTAATAATAAAATTTCAAGTATTGTAAGCAACTAACATTTATATTATACGCTTATATTATATTTTCGTTACAGAATTAGTGCTTTGCTATAACAATAGTTTTGATCAAGTTATGAAAAAAGTGTTTTCGTTATTAATTTTCCTGGCCCAATTTACTGGAATTTTAAATAATAGTTCTGACTTGAATATCGTTATTCACAGTGTTGGTCGAATTTATGAGAATTTTAAAAATTGTATTTTCATCCTTGTTAGTTTCTGACTTAACGTAATGGAGTTTTAAAAACATGCATTAAACTTAAATAAACTCAAATAAACTCATGTCGATGTCCAAAATAACTAATAAAAAAAGGGATCGAACTGCCAAATAACAAAAATAAACTCACATAAACTACAGATCATTAATAATCGTTGCCAAATAATAAATTTATTTGGCAGTCTGGTCATAGTAAAATACTGGATAATACTTATATATTCATATATATTATCGATCTACTACTTAACCCAAAGTTACTAATATTTAACTCTATAATATTCAGATAATATAAAATATGAACATTAGTACAAGCTTATTGATATTATAATAACATGTTAAATAATATGCATAGAATTCAAGTTAAATCTTATATGAATATTTTAATCCAGCATTTAGAACTTACATATAATTAATATAACTAGAATTATCAATAAATAGTAAACACATCCGCTTCTAAATGATGTTTTTAGGTTAATGATTATTTTAGTACTGTGAATATAAGCTTTCTTAGCGAGACCATGAAAGATCACCAATCAGATAATCTGCACTAATTAAACAATCTAATTTTTAAAGTAATAAAAACCTACGTTAGGGTTGGGGTTGTAACTGAAATTATGGTTTATTTTATACTAAAATTTTACAGAGAATTTTTTTGTTAGTGTGCAGTAGATGGTTTCATAAAGAGGTGATTATTAGAAAAGATCTGATTGGTGCATCTATAACGATCTTTCATGGTCTTACTGGGGTAGCTGTGAATATAGAAGCTAGAAATAGGTTTTACAATGATTTTTGTTAGTGAGATGTTATATTTTTAGAAAGTACTTTAAACTATATAAATTAGTTATTCAGGCAATTGATTTATATCAACCAATTATACCTATGAACCCACAGGTCAATTCATCCAGGAAGAACGTCCCAAATTAAGAAATATTTACCTGAGGCACCTGATCATCACACAATTAATAAACAAAATTTTTTTTTTATATATTTTACAATAAAATTTTGTTATGTAAAAAATATTATATATTGATTAGCCAATAAAAATTGTGAATTTTTATAAAATTAAAAAAGTCAAAATTAAAAGAAATTTAATTGAAATTAAGAGAAATTTAGTCAAAATTTATAGTTAAAGTTCAAGATAAATATTGTTGTTGGATAAGTAAGCATATAGTTATCAATTAAATTAATTTTTAACGATATTTATTTACAAAACCCCATTAATCATCTATATTAATTATATATCTAATTTTACATTGAATTATATATCTAATTCTACATCTAAGGAGGCATCTATAAATAACATTATGTACCTCTACATAGAACCTCTTAACCCCCTCTAGACTATATAAAAAAATTTAAAAATCTGTATATTTATATAAAATTTTTATAAATTCTTAATTATCTTGAGACTCAGTAATCCAAATTAGATAAATTTGGTACTATTAGATTTGTTTCAATGAGAGGAATCTAATGGCATCAAAATTATTTAATTTAGATTACTGGATCAAAAGATATGAGCAAAAAACTGTTAATTATATAATAATTTCATATAAAATAATATAACTAATAGTTTTTTGCTAATATCTTTTGATCTAGTGATCCAAATTGAATAATTTTGGTACCATTGGATTCCTCTCAGTGAGACGAATCTAATGGTACCAAAATTATCTAATTTTGACTACTGAGTCATGAGATATTAATATTTTTATAAAAAAATTAGGTTATTTTCCTTCAATCCCCTTTATCTTAGCAAAAAACATAAAAAAATATTATTTTTGTGAAACCCCTCTTCTCCCTCTTGCATAACATTATTTATAGATGCCTTCTAATTCTATATTTAATTCTACATCTAATTAAATTTTTAACTTATACTATACTATATAATTTATATTATGCAATTATTATTCTAACACATTATACATCATCATGAAATTAAAAAAAGATATTAAATTTAGATGATTAATTCAGAGTTAATCATTAAAAAAAGCAATGAAAATTGAAGGCTTCATTGAATATTGCAATGTTTAATATATTGGAACACAATGTATAACATATTATTTAATTAAGTTGTTAAATATCTAGTTGTATATTGTAATGATTATTCTTAAAGGTATAGTATTTATTTTTTAAAATTAAACAATGAGTTGATCATTGATTTTAAAATTTTATGATGATGTATATAAATTTTCTTATCATATCTTAAAAGTGTTTTTAATAATATTATTAAATTGTATAATTAGTTATTATTCTTCGTATATTTTCAATTATTTAAAAGATTTTTATATAATATATATAATAAAAAATATATACAAACAAATTATTTCTTTCTATATTGTTGGCATTAATCATTATTTTAAGTTTTCTTATATTTTTTGTTTAACAATAAGATTTTGTCGACATGGTGATTCCTAATTACTTATAACTTTGGCAAGCAAAGTGTAATATAAAAGTTGTGAGATTAAAAGGGATTAAGCAAATATTGTTATAGAGTAGAGTGAAAACTTCAAGTTTGCTTAATAGACTTATCACATTTTATAGAAAGGGTAAGTTACCTAAAGTTCTTTATAACTATATCATTAGATATGGAACAGGTCAGGTTTAATCTGAAATTTTACGAGTCAGGTCACAGTCAGGTTTAGATTGGGTTCAAATTATAGACTCATTATTAAATCGGGTTGGGTTTAGATCAGGCCTATTTAAGTATTGGGTCAGGTTCAGATTCTGTTTATTGATCTGTAAAACCCAATCAAACCCCAATATGATTTTTAAAAATTTTTACTTACCTAGCTGTAGCTGAGCTATAGTTAAAATCTGTACTTCAAATTATGGTTTAAGTTGCAGCTGATATTAACTTTGATAAACAAAATTTTCTGTTATATAATTGCTGTTTCTACTTTTACAATAAATAGCTATGAGTTGAATAAATTATTTAATTGATTTTTAATATCACATCAAGTTAATTTTTCATTATATATTACTCTTTGGTCCAAATTTTTCAAAATTTTGATTTTTTTTTACAAAAATAATTTACTTTATCATAAACAAAATAATAATATTTGATTCAAAATAATACTAATAATAATTATTATTTAATTAAAATATAAAGAAATGCTAAAATTACTCAAGTCTAATTCAGAATATAGTATTTCTCTTTATGAAATCTGATTGGTTATATCTACAAATTTCAGCATCATCCATCTCAACATTATTAATACGGTTAAATAACGCATTTATATTGTTGACAACTTTAAACGTTCATATTAAATCTGTTGCAAATTTGATATATTCGCGTTTACGTGAAGATTGCACTAGGCTATCAATAATATATAAAATGCCTAATATTCAGTAGTTAAAAAAGATTTAGCAAAATAATATGCAACAAATTTTTCTATATTTAAGAATAATAACTTAATGCTAAATTATTCTTTCATTTAAACAAATGCTATAAATACCAAAATGATTTAAATATTATCACACGGTAGACGATCATTCGCAGAGTAAAAACTTATTTTCAGATTTTTTTTTTATACACTAACAAATCAATAATGAATAAATTAACAAATTAAGAATACTGTGCAATATAAGATATTTTTTCTAAATAAAAAATTTAGTGTTAGCGTTAAATCTAAGGTTTACAAGTTTAGCATAAACATTATGTACAAATAATTTTTTTTAAAGTTATATGCAAGTAGGTCTATGATAAATATATAAAATTTTATATTATTTCAGGAAGAAATGCAGGTTTTGTAGTTTATTTATTCTGCCATATGCATTTCTCTAATAAGTGGCAAGATTTTGCGAAAGATGCTATTTTATTTGCAATATAGCCATACACTTTGTTAAATTTTCAATATTATTCCATTTTTAGTATAATTGGGTTGGATTGAGTTGAGTCAGGTTCATTTAAATCTGACCTGAATCTGATAAAAAATTTTTATAATGGGTTGGGTTCGGGTTGGGTTTTAATCAGGTCCGGATTAGGTTTAAATAAACTCGACCTGATCTAACTTGTTTCACACCTTATATATTGTAATCGATTTTCTAATTTGGGACATTCCCTCCTAGAGTTAACTTATGATCAATTCTGGGTTGACTTACAGATTAACTTGTAGATTGGCTACTCGGGTTGTTACAACTCAACCTGGGTGACCTACCAACTTGCAGTTGATTTGGGTAAGACCCACCCGAGTCAAAACACTAATATAAACTGCAATATCTTAATATGAATTCCAAATAATATTCGTCCAAAGTCAAAACTCAAAACTAGAATTCAAATATTCAATACTTAAAACTTATCTCTAATATTAATTTATCAATTCATAAATATGCTTGAATATAAAATAGTATGCAATACGTATGGAGTTAATTGTTCAGATAGCCAATTCATTTGGGATAGCGTTCGCTATAAAATGTGTATTAAGTGCAAAGAAAACCGTGACAAGAGGAAGAATAGACGGTCTTTTTTAAAAAGAACTGTAAATTCAACTGTAAATTCAACT